ATATTTATATATATATATATTTATATATATATATATATATATATATATATATATATATATATATATATATATATATATATATATATATATATATATATATATATATATATATTTTATGCGTGCCCGTACAACTCTGACAACTCTTCATGAATTTACTGGCTCTAAATATTACCATTTCATATTTCAGTTGTGAGCGGGGAAATGCTCGTCTATCTCGAGTATTGTTATCTTATGCACCTGTGTTGATTATCATACTGGCTAGTCCCATCCTGTTTATTATTACTTATAACAAAGGTAAACGTTCACTAACGGCAACATTGACTGACTACACAATATACTGCGCTTTTCACTCTAGCTTGGAAAGCACCAGACTAATTCCGGCTTTTGTCGAATTGATGCAAAATTTGATCGGGAAGTTTCGGTCCTCAAGCGGCAGGTTGTCAAAGCGGTGGCACTAAATTTTAAAGGCGTAAGGCTATATTAATTATGAAAGTGTCTGTAATGTATGCGTGTGGTTTTGTAATAACAAGGACAAAACCCATTCTTCGCATGTTTTTTGAAACATTTGGAAAAAAAGTGGCGTTTCAACCTGGAATGGGAAGTAGCCTATATATAGTCAGTTAATACGAGCGTAGATTATTTCATGGGATTCATTCATGGTTGGCAAACTCGTATACCCAGAGAGTTGGTATACGTTGGTAGAACTTTATTTAACCTATACTTCATTTAAGGTTATATTATATGATAAACTCTGATTTTGTCCAAAAATTTTTTTATATATTCATATTAAGTAATGATATATCTCTCAATTCCAGCAACTTTTTAAAGAATATGTTAAAAAGCGACCGAGAAATAGGGGAAAATGCTATGACCACTGAATAGCTTTGCGCGAAACTTGTAATTATGATTGAACTTTGCTGGCGTCAAATATAAAGGTGTGAAATTCACTAAAGTATAAGCCGTTTGTCTGCTTTGTCATTGTTCGGAGGTACAGTATATATCATTGCGACAACATTAGAAAGCTTATAATATAGTATTTACAGAATCTCTCGAAGTTCAAGCTATGTGCGATGTCGGCTTCGGTGACTTTTCTACTGCGTTTGCGTTTTGTAGTCTATAGACCTATACTTGCCAAAAAATATTAAAGTTTGCTTGTTTGTGATTGGTTAACCGCACGAGGTCACAAGTGGATTAACATTGGGGGCGGAGAAAATGACAGAAAGAGTGCAAACCTCGTCAAATCTTAAATCGTCGTTTGAAGAGAAAGCAAAATTACCCAATCTCCTCGACAAAAAAGTTTAACGACAGAGCGTTTTATCCGATTGGCCCTAAACTTGATCACAATGTTAATCAATAATAAAGGAACAAAAATGTGTTCGCGTTTTCGATTTAGTGCATTATTTTTCAATTTGGAAGCATCTCTTCAACCGCTTATACCCGCGCAAGGTAAGTCAAGTTGTCTGCTTTATATCAAAGCAAATACAATAGCTGTCAAAAAATGCGAACACACTTTTCTTCTTTGGGCATTTGAGATGAGAAATATGATATTTTGGGAGCTCCTGAGTTAAACGATCTGTCGTTAAATCTCGTGGCGCAAGAGGTGCTATTTTTCAAAAGATGTTTCATTGCGACTACAGGTCAAAACGTGGTGAATTTTGGTTAAAACAGTAGCTTCTACAGTTAGTTATCATTACATGTACCAAGTTTGAGAAACGTAACTAAAAAATTGAGCACGCAGTGACAATTTTTCTGAAATAGGAATCTATCATATGATGTAACCTTAAAGGAGTGAATATATAGGTCCTGAACGGTTTGTGCCAGTGTACGTAGTGACAATAACACCAGAAAACTGCGGATTGAGAGGATTCAACTACCTGAAAAATACAAAATTTCAATTTTTCTTGTATTTTTCAGGTAGTTGAATCGCTCTCAATCCGCAGTTTTCTGTGACTGATTGATCCCGCCAATTTATTCTCACTAGGGAGATGGCTGTGCACTATATATTAAACTATTTTACATGAAATCTCTTTTATAGGTTTTGGAAGTGTTAAATCAGTAGCATTATTTCGAAAATTATAGTTTATTATAGATCAAACGCATCCTCATGGAAGCAAGGGTTGTCTCAAATTTGGGGTGGCATAACCATTTAGATTTTGTTGGGGGCAGGATCTGCCTAAGTCGTGCACCAGTTGGAGTTTTTATGGTCCATGTTTACGTATTTTGTTCCCATGCATGCAGGCTACTAGTTTTGATTCGGTGGTAGTCCCTATATAGACCCCCATGATTCGCCATACCTCCATTTAAAGTTTGGCTACCGGTCAATACCGGCCTCCATAAAAATAGAATCTACAGGCATGTTCAATTAAATTGTTTTTCATCTTTTTTTGTTTGTTAATTTTAGTTAAACAACAATTACGATCATCTGGGAGTTATACAGCTGTTGATCGTGCAGCGCTCACCACCTGTAGGAGAAAGTTTTTCTGGATGGTGGTTGTTTTTACCATATGGTACGTTGTTTTAAACTCGCATGTTTCTTCATCTATGACTTTGTGATTGCCTTTTTGTAAATCGTGTTGACTGTATATCACCGTAATTCAAAAGACTAACGTTAAAGCTATTTCTTCAATCGTCATTGATTTTCCATGTTCAATGCTATAAATTGGATAACCAATATTGGACAAATTCTTATTAAGGTATTAAAAGTATTATTTTCATCCGGCCATTTTCATTATTTACAAATATGTTATACAAATTGACTCGTGATTTCAAAATTGATTTTGAATTATTGTAATCTGCATAGTGGGTGGTAAGTCGCAGTGTGTAAACGTTGAATACCTTTTTAGTCACGATTCAAATATTTGTAAGTTGTTATAACTAATATGTAAGTTGTTATAACTAATATGTTATTACCTGTTCATTATCTTTATTTATATTTAACGTCTTAAAAGGGGTTAGGTGTCAATTGGGACGAGAGTCCTGTTCCTTTCCCCTGTCACGAATTGTCTAATCTGTCTTTATTTGTCTTTAATTAGTTTGTAACATGTACATAGTGACAAATTCATTATATTATATTATTATTATTATATTGTTATATTCTTAGGCATAAAATCACGGGAGACCCAGGCTCTATTTGCCCGCGCCCGCCTTGACTTCCTTATAATACAGGCGGGCGCGGGCAAATATTGTTATTAGGTGGGAGTGGAGTTGGGTCTGGGGGTCAAGCTACTCCAGAAAAAATGCATTTTCGAAGCTTCATGCATCAGGGCTCAGTTACACGATACTGAATTTGCTTACTGTAGGTGTCACAACATCGAATATAACTGTTTCAGGACCCACTTACTTGAAATTGTGTTTATGTGACAAAATAAGACAAATTATCGGGGGGGGGGGATTTTATATGGATCGAAGGACAATATTTCTGAGCGGCACATGTTCATGTACGCAAAAATTAAGGTTTTAAAAGTATTACTATTTACGATTGTATATTTGTTCTGAACTTATTGTGAACGTGCAGTACAACAGTATTATTATCTATTTAAAAAATATTGCACCTTGGCAGAAGGAAAGTTCAGTTTTAGTGTTGCGTTTTGAAATAAATCATGGTTATTGATTTCTTATTTTATATTCACCCGTTTATTTTTCGTCCACAGTGTCGTCGGAAGCAAATTGTTATTGGGTTGGGATGGGTTCTGGGATCAAGCTACCTCTGGCCATTAGCCAGTGGCGGAAATATTTTTTTTTGGGGGGGGGGGATTTTAAAATTTGAATCCCGGAAATGGCATTTGCAGCATTCTGAGAACACATTTTGTAAAAAACTATAGGTTTTCAAAACAATGTTTTAATGGTGCATTTTGTTATAAATCACATGCTAAGCATAGAAAACCAACATTTCAGAGAAAATATGTACATGATTATTTACATTTGTGAATGGAATTGGAAGGTGGTTTAATTTATTTAACACGCCAATGATAATGTAAAAAATTATTCGTTGCGCACGCTTTTGTTTTTGTTAACATAAAATTGGAATGTTAATTGATTATCCATTGTTTTTGAGCATGATAGTTTAATTTATACGCATTCAAATATTATTGTGCAGCAGAAAATGTTGCCGCTAAACAATAGTATAAGCTTCAAACAACAAAAAATCGACAATGACATTTACAGAAGTGCCTGTAGCAAAAGTTGACGCCTGTCGGATAAATCCTTGTAAATATTAAATACTTTATGTTATGGTTTATATTACTTTTTAAATAGTTGTAAGTTGATATCTTAGTTAGACTATAATTATTATTATTATTATTATTATTATTAAAACTTTATTAGGCACGGTATTGCTCATCAGGATTTACATTATATGGGCTACATTAACTAAATTATATTACAAAAATAGGTACGCAGTGCGTACATGTTGCATGCCATCAAAAGCTAGCGTGAAAACCATAGATATAGGAGATCTAGATTGCTAACGCATACCTAGCGCAGGCGGGGCCTACATGATAAATCCAAGATAGCGGTACAACAGGGCAAAAATACTATAGATTCTATTACGAAAATCAGGATTTTTGCATTTTTTGCCGTCGCATTGTTTCGAAACTTATTCGGTCAAATTTTATGGTAAAGAGAAACTCACCGCGAGGATTTTGAGCATATATATGATTGAATTGGATGAAAAATCGCAAAATTATCCAGCCATAAAAGTTCGTGTGAAATGGTCAGTATACTGTTGGTCACTTGGAGCGTTTTATTGCCAGAAATACTGTGCTATGTTAACATCTAGCCTTGTGAATGGTGTTTTATACTTGCATCTCTCATTATCATCTGCTCTGTTCTCATAATTATGAAAAATGAACTGTTATGTACCCCCCCCCCCCTCCTTGCTTGTTAGAGAAGTAAACTGATGAGAGCACTGGATGAGGGTCTATCATCTATGTTCTGTTATAATTTGCTTTTTATGCAAATAGTGAGCAAAAATTAAAGCAAAACTGTACAAGTTACATATATAGTACTATATCAGTACT